ATGAGGCCTGTGGCAATGCAGTGATCAATTCTTTATAGTTATATTGTTGTTGGTCCCCCTGGGCAGAAAATAAGCAAAACATTTAAAATGCAGGTAATTTGCATTCCAAAGCCCAGGTGGGCATATGAGAAGTAGAGGTGGAGGCACCCTTTGATTAACCAGAGCATTACATTGCCTTATGAATCAGAGTCAATAGTCTTAGTCAGCCAGAGTGCAAAAGTCCTGGCCATCTGCTGAATTGCCTCTCTTCTGTAGTTTGCAGGAACCACTCAGCAAGCTGATTCCAACATCCTCATTCACAAATGCCCCCAGCACCTGTATCTCCATTCCCATAGCAACCAAGACAGCTTCAGCATCTTTTTTTGTTTCATCCTGATGGGTGACAGAGACAAGGTTCATATTTCAAATCCTCTCTTAAATATCTTGAATCTCAAAATGGAATCTGGAAAGCAGAAAGCACTTAGCATTAACAAGGATTTCCTGTCCTGGGTCCAGTGGTGCAGAACAGACAGGGGTCTGGGTACGATCTGTGCAGTATCTGTCACTGTTAGGATCACTGCACCATCATGCTGGGTACAGACTTAGCAGAGTACACACCTCAGCCCCAAGAACTTAGATACTAAATAGAGAGATCAGACAAACAAAGGGAACATGAAAATGTTAAAATTACAAGTCTGTTTAGTATGGTTAATTAACTTATGGCCCTGCCTAGTATTTTGAATGTCAAGCCTAAGGTTTCTCAAGGTGGGCATCCAAAAGTAGGGTTACCCCAAGGATTGGACCCTGCACCATATTTACCCAAATCCAAAATGACTTGGAATTTAAGACAACCTCCCTATAATTTTCCATGTACAGAATCTAATCAATGGAAGGTTTTCTTAAATTTGGCCCCACACTGCAGTGGCAGAGAAGACAGTGGTGGGGGCCAAGGGGGCCAGACCCCCTCCCCTTGCTCTCTCTGCTTGCCCCCCATCCCTTGTCCCCTTGCCCTGCCCCTGCCTGTGCCTGACCTCTGCCTCCTGTTTTCCCTTTGCTACCTTCCCCCTGGCTGCTTGCCTCCTCTTATGCCTTCCCCCCTGTCACCTGTCCTGCCCCCCTGCCACCTGTCCCCACTCCCTGTGCCACTTGCCTTTTGCTGTTCTGCACTGCTCCAGCTCCAAAGCAGTCAGCAGCATCGACCCCACTGGCCACTGCATGAGCCATCCTGGCGTGGGGCAAGTGGAAACTCAGCTCTGGCTTTGGCTCCACTTACACGTTTTAGTTCATATGGTCTTTAATTTTTACTGGTATTACTAACACCGTAGCCAGGTTCATGGCCCCATTGTGCTAGACCAAGTGAGACACCATCTCTACCCCAAAGAGCTTCAGTCTTGAACAGTGAAAACTTCTCTGAGGCTATGTTTGGGCAGGTAGTCCTGCAGACTTGAACCTGAAACAGACTGTATGTGAGTGCATCCTTGCAACCACACACAACCCTCTTGGTTTCCCTGTGGTTCAGTTACAGCAGGGGTGGGCAGTTATTTTGGCTGGAGGGCTGCTTAATGTGTTTTGGTGAGCTGTCGAGGGCCACAAGGGTAGCCCTGCCCCTTGACAGGTGCCCTGCCCCCTGGTCAACATCTTGAGATTGGAAGTCCCACCTCTGAGCCCCCCTTGGCCTTTGTCATTAGAAGTACTCCTTTTGGGAGGGGCAGGGAGGTTGCCATCTTGGAACCAGAAAAACATCTATTATAACATATTTTAATTTTATTTCAAGAAGTATTTTTGTCCAGATTTACATGTGGTTTGTATATAGAGTTGATTGCATAATAGCTCAAAATAAAATTCTCATATATTTTATGTGCGGTGTTTGTGTGTGTGGGGTTTTGGAGTGGTGTTGGCTGTCTGAGGGAGGGGGTGTGTGTGTGGGGAGGGTGTGGTTGTGGGGTGTGTGGGGGGCGGTTGTGTGAGAAAGGGTGTTGGTGTGGAGGGATGTAGGCCTCCCCTACACATCCCCTCCCATGGCACACAGCATCTGCTACTATGTCAGCAGTAGCCTCAGGTGGCGGGCCCTGGGGTGCTCCTGGGCCTCATAGGCAGAGGCCCCTGATGGTGTGCGGCTCCAGCCATTTCTGGGAGCTGCCTGTGGCAGCAAGGAGTGAGGCCAGGCCATGCTGCCTCCATCACGCAGGGTTCCCTGCGTCTCGTGTAGTTCCTGGGACCTGGCCAGAGCCACATGCTGCAAGGGGGAAGCCCTGTGCAATGGAACCTGTGGCCTGTCTGTGCTTCCTGCTGCCACATGCGGCTCCCAGGACTCCTCCACGAAGCAGGGAGTGGAGCCAAGCTGGCCTGGCGCCATCACACAGGGCTCCCTGCCACTTCCAGTGGAGTCCTGGGAGCTGCATGTGGCAGCAGGCAGCAGCAAAGGCTGCTGGCTCCATTGCACAGGGCTTCCTTCAGGTTGTACATGAGTCCTGGGAGCACTGTAGCAGAGACACAAGGAGGAACTGCCAAGCAGCTGCCCCAGCAGTGGCTCCCCCCAGAATCTGTGCGCTGGCCAGGACCAGGGCTGTCCCCTGCACAAGGTTGGGAGCGAATTGTGCTGCTCCAGTGGGAGTGGGTGGGGCTTGTGCCCCATGCAAACACAGCAGGAGCAGCTGTGGGCTGGGCTGCATACAATTAATTGCCTAGCAGGCTGGATCTGCCCCGCGGGTCGTATTTTCCCCACCCCTGAGTTACAGGTACAGTCATGTGCTCACGTGCTGTCTGCTGTGAGAGTTGTGCCCTTGGTGTCTATGCCCAGGTCTTGCTGACTCTTTAGTCTGCTAAACCAAGCAGAACCTTTATAATGGACTGCATGAAGGCTTTGCACAAGACCCTCAGGTATTTGAGTTTCAATTTTCCAATACAGTCCCAGATTTGAAATATTGGTCCTGGGTCAGCTGGTGTTACCCTCTCTTCCTCCTAAAGTTCCTGTGATGCCAGGCAGCACCTGAAATATAGAAGGCGGCTATATGGTTTCTATATGTGTACTGTGCAGAAAGCAATTTAGCATCATTCATAAGGTGCTGCATCAGAACTAATTAACTTGCCCTTGGGTTACATCACACTGCCCACAGTACCACACCAAGGCAGCTACGCTAACCAGGTCTGGTAGTGGTGTGGACTTCATCTAGTTCCTGAGGTCTGTGGAATGTTGAAGTTTTTGTTTCCTGATAATTGGTCATTTTACATGATAGCTGTATGCATGCAACTACAGATTTGTACAGAGTTTCTAGACACACTATTGCTTCCCTTCTTCCCCCTCCCTCCCTTAAAAGGTAAAGCACAAAAGAATGCAAATATTTTTTTGGGGAGTGGGGAAGAGCACACTTCTAAACAGTAGTACCCCTCAATTTAGCTCCTCCTCCCTTGGGCTCTCCCTGTATCCAGGAAGATAGGACAGTTCACTGCTCCACTCAGCTCCTGCATGCAGAAACCCTCCTGCTGGTTTGTTTCTGTCATGGAGTTTTTCAGCTGAACTTACCTTCCTTGACCTTGGTTTGTTGTTCAGCTAAAATGGCCTTCTTCTTTTTCCCTTCTTAATAACACTTGTTTCTCCCTGAGGCTTCCCCTGTATGAATCTTTTTTTAAACCCTCCTCTGTCCCCTCTGTCTCTTTGTCCTGTTGCTGGTTGGCTTCCACTCTGTCTTTCCCGTTCTTTCACACAGGAGGGAATGCCATCTCCTAGGGTAAGCAGACCTCTGGTCACAAGGTTATTTCACCTTGAATAAGCAACGTTTGAATGCTGATGACTCTAATCTGGCAAAGACTGTGTTAGAGGCTCTGGCAATGAATACTCCTTGCCAGAGATGTTCATGATGCAGCCATTTTTGTAGTAGAAACTACGTACCAACTCCATAATGTCAGTTTAAGTCAAACGGACACTTCCCCCAAACTGTCATGGGAGAAGCCTCATCAGCTTTCAAAATGGGGCCTTCGTATACAAACACATTAACAAGAAATGCACTTAAATTATTACTTATGGTACCAATCTACCAGCAGAAGTGGGTCAATCCTAGTCTCAGGTTTCTAAAATACCTTGATACTTGCCAAGTCCTGTGAGCCGGAATCTGTCAGACAAATCTTTTTCCACTCACAGAGCACATCTACATGTTCATTAATGTGCCATAAATTACGGCACATTATGTTTAGTACCTGTAATGACAGGTACTTAATGCTATGTAATCGGCACCACTGTGCATTAGCACAAATTAATTTTTTTTGGTGATGCTACTGTGCATTAGACTAAATGTGTACGTTAGCATGAGCTTTGCCCGCCACACTAATGTGCAGTGGAATTAGTCTTCTGCACATTAAACGTTTTGTGTAGACACACCCAACATGTCCCTGTCTTTTTTAATTCCCTCCTCTTCCTCCTTCTCGTATTTCTTTTAGACCCTTTTGTCTTCATGGGTAGCACCCAGATTGCACTTGCTTTTACCTTAGCAGGAAAGACCCTGTTTTGGATTTATTTGGAAATAAGGAAGTGTAACTGTTGCAAGCTGAAGAAAATTGGTTTGGGAATAAGGTGGTATTCAGTGGGCAGAAAGTATGTGCCATGCATACACTGTTTGTGCCAGATTCCCCTTAGGTCTTCTGGTATTGCGGTGCACTTTGCCAGGTAGATGGTTTTGTTTCCATTTACTATTCCTGCTCGTCTCCAGCCCCTGCACTATTAGTCAGGTGCTGGGTGGTTTAGGTACTTGTTACTACTGTAGTGTTCGTTTGCATTTATCAAGTTTAATTATGCACGAGCATCTAACAGTGAGAATAAACCTTGAAGACAAATCTCTAATGAGTTGACAGAATGATGAAAGAGAGCTACAAGCATGTAATGGTGACAGTAATGGTGGAATTTGCCTTCATTATTCTAGATATTGTGGGAAGGCAAAGATGAAAAATTGTAGGATGTAAGAATGAGCTGAAGTGTAAGCAATGACTGTGGTCTGTGTTTATTAAAATATTTCCTACCCCCTACTAAGGTTCTTTTTGGGCTTACATAAAGGAGCTTTTAAAATGCTAAGAAACATCCATATGTTTGTGGCTTTGCATATACAAAGTTGTTTTTCCCATATCAAAATTCTGAATACACCCCACCTTCAAGTGTTGCTTATCAAGCATATTTACGATGATTAGAAATGCTCAGAATTGCAGCTCAGACGTTGTAATCTTTGAGAAGAAGCGATTAGACTTTTTTCCATAGCATTTAAGAAATGTTATTAATTAACATGGCAATTTATTCAAGTCACAAAGAATACAGAAAATGGTTAAAGTACATATAAGAGGAATCTGGTGTTGTATGTTGCATAGTGGTGCAGAAAACTGTTAGCAATATAAAAGCACACAGAAAGGGAAAGGAGGCTTCAGCTGGCTTTCAAGACAAGTTCTTTGTCAGGAAAGAAGTTGACAAGGTGTCAGAGGGTTTAAAAAAGGATTCACAGGAGGAAAGCCTCAGGGAGAAACAAGGGATGTGTTACCAATTTTGCTAACTTCATCAAGTTATGTGAGACAAACAAGTCTCACCTAAATTAGGTATCTTAATATTTTGAGCTATTTTTTGTTTGGATTTTTTGAGGGGGTGGAGTGGGCATTTCTAGCTTTCATGGCAAGCTTCTTGATTCAACTTAATGACAAGTGACCCCTGATTGCTTATACTAAGAATTATATGAATTTATATTATTCTATTGCAGTCTTTTCTAGACAAAACATGTGGAGTTTTATATGTTGTTTTAATGTTTAAATGTTTGGGGGGAGCCATAATATTCTTCATACATATATTGAGAAACGTTGGAAACCAGTAACACTTTGGTTTTGTTTTTTGCTCAAAGACTTGATTTTTATGACACCATATAACAGACAGTGCTTTCATGAGTGGAAGTGATGCTGGTTTTAAGTGAATGCTGCTTAGCCTGTCTTTCTCTTTCCACTATTATTTTAAGCAGCCTTATGAATTTATCCTGGACATGTTATATTTCCCATTGCTTTCTAGGGTCTTCTAAATACTTTTCTTTAATATTCTCAGGTCTCTCCTTTTAGTTTTTTTCTTTCCTTCTTTATATCAAGTAGGTGCCCTTCTGATGAAGACTTTGCTTCCATATACATGAGGACAGTAAAAAGTAGAAGAGCTTTACTCCCTCCTTGAGGAGCTTTCATAGTGCATCATGCCACTTCCTATCTCAGGCACTGTGAAATCACTCAGACAGTTGGCAATACTGTCTTCAGATCAGCTGCAGAACAAATAATTCCAGAGGCCCCATCTCTATCCTCAGGTGACTTTCTGCAGGATAAAGGCCAAATTCTTTCTATCGAGACTCTCCATGGTTCCTCCGTGCCTGTAGGTGTCCTTGAAGCTCTATTTGGAAAATGTCTGCTAGGACAGAGACTGGGAAAAGATGCTGTATTCAGTAGGGATGTAAAAGGTTAAACAATAATTATATTTATACAATTTACCTCCCGGCTCCATGCTGCCCAGTGTTGGGGGAGCAGCTCTGGGAGGGGCTGCCCAAGAGGTTGTGCAGATCCGGGCTGCGGCATCAGGTAGCCGCTGTGGCAGGGAGGTAACTAGTGGCTACCTGGGGAGCTGAGCCATGCAAAAATGCACAGTGGAGCCAGTGGGGCTTAAATAGGGAATGCAACAGTGGGGATGCCATCAGGTGCCACACGGGTGGGCTGCACAGATCCAAGCGCTCCCCCTCATGACACCCACAGGGGCTTCCGCCTGTTGGGACAGCTGTGCTGTACCTGCTCCCTTCGCTGTCTGGATTTAGCCAGCAGCTGGGCCAGCACTACATTCCTCCCACTCAGTAGAGGGATTTCCCCAGTATGGTAGCTCCTAGAAGAGGGCGCTTAGCCCACAGTGGATGCCTCGGGTACAGTCTTCATGGCACATCCGTCTGCCCCATGCCCCTGGGTTGGGAGGGCTGCTGTGGGTCCTTGCTGAGTGGCAGTTGAGGGAGCCCAGGGGGTGGGCAGGGAGGTTGGAGGGAGGCACTGCCTGGGGCTCCAGGTGCCCATGGGCTAGAGGCACTCCCTGGGTGCAGCGTGATGTGGCGTGGTGCAGCACAGCTGTCCCGGTAGGTGGGAGTCCCTGTGGGTGCCATGGGCCGGGGGGGGCAGTGATACCTGCCTGCATACAGTCCACTCCTGTGGCACCCTATGGCAATCCCACTGCTGCAATCACTCCTATTTAAGTCCTGCTGACTCCTCTGGGCAACTTGGTCTGGCTCCACTCCCCAAGGTAACAGCTAATTATCTCCCTGCTGAAACTGCCATGCGATGCTACAGCCTGGATCCACACCTCCTTCCAGGCAGCCCCTGCTACAGCTGCACCCCCAAAAGCGGGCAGCACTGAGGCAGGGATCCCACTGCCCTGTGCTGCTGGTGCCATTGCCTGCCTGCTCCTGCACAGTGACCACATGGAACCTGCTCTGGCCACGGTTTCAATCCCAGCTGGTGGCAGAATTCACCACAGTCCCACATATCACACTTAGCCCTGGATCTCTGCATTGCCCTGCCCCTCTGCCACAGGATCATTTAACCATTTAACTAATATAATTAGAGGAAGTTAAATGGGTAATTTTTTAAATGATAGTTACATCCTTAATATTCAGTGAGTAGCCACTGTATGGAAGAGAGCAATAAGGTGATACTTCTAAGTGCTTTCCTTTTTCCCCTTATATTATCTCAGTCTTGTCTTGCTTTTCTCCAACTGTTCTTTATTCATCTGATAGCAGCTATGTGTTGAGAAGTCTGGCTAATGAGATGGTGCCTTCCTTTTAGTCTGAAAGGAGAAGCAGAGAGGCATGTTGTCTTTCTGTATACTGCTGCTGTAACGGTTCATGCTGTCTCATTAGCTTCTGCCATGGTTTTTTATCAGTGTTGAACAGCATGAGATAGAGGGCTGAACCTTGGGATGAAAAGTTGTCTATAGCAGTGTTTCCCAACCAGTGTGCCATCAGAAATGAACAGGCGTGCCGCAGAATTTTGCCATGGCAATGAGCTAGGTATGAGGATGGGGACTGCCTTAACAGGTGTGCCACAGAAAATTTTTATTACTGTAAGTGTGTCTTGGGCTGGAAAAGGTTGGGAAACACTGGCCTATAGCAACCCGGGAGATTTAGTATGAGGGGAAGAAGGGTGGCATATAAATTGAATAAAATACATAACATACATACATAAAGTGTTTCATTTAGTCTTCTAGTGGCAGGATTTTAGTTTTTAGTAGCCACTGACGCAGATAAATTCATCAGCCACAATCTTTGTTTTCTGTTTAAAAATCTCAAATTCTCTGATTAAAAAACCCCAAATCCGTGTTTTTCTGTGATTGAAATGAAATACCTCCGTCTCTGTCTCTCTCTTTCTCTCTCTCTCTCTACACACACATACATAGACACACATACACAGAGTAGTTGAACACAATGTTTTATTGATATATTTACAATGTAAAAGTAATTTGAGAGCCTGCCAGTACCTCAATCATTATAATAAAATAAATTCTAAATCCTTATATATTTTGGTATTTGATTTTGGTTTTTTTATCATAGAAAATCAGAGCTCCCCCTGCCCCCTTTGCTTACTGGGGTGCAGGTCTGGCTGTGGTTGTCCCCCCTGCTGCTTTGTGGAACTGAGCAGCCCTGATATGCCAGTGATGTGACCCTCACTCCCAAGTCACAGCCCCCTAAAGCCTGCCGATGCTCCTCACTCCTGACCTGCAGCCCCCCATCCCCTGAGCCCTGCAGGTGCCCCTCACTTCTGACCCTTGCCCCCAGGCCTCAGCCCCCCAGTGTGTGGGGTGTGGTGGGTGTTGGGCAGGGAGGGGTGCCTGACCATAGGTGAAACCATAGGCGCGACATGTTGGGCGGGGCATGGGGGGGGGCACATGTGCCCACAGGTGTGTGCATCCACAGTGGGCACGGAGCTGCAACCTGTCTGGACTGGCATAGGCAGGAGCTGCCTTAGCAGGTGGGACCTGTCAGGAACCACCTTCAGTGGGCAGGATCCAGTGTAGGACAGTGGAGTGGGGCAGCAAGACTCGTTGCTGCCACCACCGGGACTCCCGCACCAACCATGCCACCAACAGCAGGGTGAATAATAGACTGTGGGGGTGGGACAGGGGTGGGGGAATGCTGCTTTCAACTTCTCCTGCCACCAGCTGCTTGCACACTGGGCTGTGGCTTTATACCTCCACCATGGCCTGGTCACTGCTACCCCCATCAGGCTGCCCACTCTGCCCTCCACCCCACCTCCCTTCTGGGGTAGAGCTGCAGCCTGAGGGGAGCAGCAGTGGTGACTGGGCCATGGTGGCAGGGGTAGAGCCATGGCCCAGCATGTAAGCAACTGGTGACAGCAGTGTGGCCCCACACCTGGCCCGTTACTCCTTGCACAGTTGGTGATGCAGCTGCCACTGGGGTCCCAGCGGTGGCAGCAATGAGTCTCATTGCCCTGCTCCACCCTCCTGTACCAGGTTCCTCCCACTGGGCCGCAGAGGTGGCTTTTGTCTATGCTGATCCAGTCAGGCTGCAGGGCTGTGCCCACTGTGGGTGCAGAAATCTGTGGGCAGGACATGTCCCCCAATGCATTGCCTATGCCTCCCTGCCCCTCCATGCCTCACTTACCACCTCCCCCATAGACTTACCTCCTGGGAGCCGCGAGAGCTGCTTGCCACCCTGCTGCCTGGCTGCCATGTGCATATATGTGTGCACACATGCCTGTGGCCCTCTGCCTGTGATCACCCTGCTCCTGCTCCCCTCAGCCCCTAGCAGGCTGGAATTCTGCTAGCCTGCAAGGGGAAACCCATAGTTTCCTGTGTTTTTCTCCTTTAAAGGAGAAAAATCTGCATGTTTCTGCACCAAACGGAAAACCCAGATTCCTGCTTATCTGGGTTTCTGAGTGGGTTGTGCCTCCTGGAATTACCCACTGGGACAATGAGTGCTGTTGCCCTGTTCTGTGTCCAGTCTGCTGCTCTCTTTTCTTCTCCCCACTCTATTTGCTACTGTTCTGCTCT